AAACAATTTCGATAAGGTTCCCCCTTACAGACCCCTAAACAAAATTATTCTAAAACAAATTTCTTTTCTTTAAAATGGTTCTATGCGTGGTAGACAATGATTTCTGTTCACGCAATACCAGTTTTTGGTGAAAAAAATCTTATGTCTGCAGCGGATGGTAAGATTTTCCAGAAACTAGCCTATGGAATACCATGCAGAAAGAGCTTCGAAATTTTTTTACTTAAACCATTATAAGGAGCATATGTGAAAACCTAAAAATAGTGCCTTTCTAGCTTCTCAAATGCTTTTTTTAAGAAGCTATGCAAGCACATGCCCGCATCACAGGCCAAAATTGCACACTATGCTCCCCTTCTTTGAAATGGAATGGTTACGATTAAAAACAGATAAAATTCTGAAATTTTTTAAGCCTAGAACAAAGTTTTAAAAATACTCAATCAGGTTGAAAAAATCAAGTTTTTCAATCTGAGTTTGATACCACAGGACTGTAAGTTAAAGTTCTTTTTGTATGTCGCTTTAGCGATCATTTTTTCCCTGCTTTTACTTTTAGTTCATGTTTTTCTTCTTTTGTATATACAAGTAATTAATTTTACTATTTACATGAGTGATTTGCAATTGTATTGTACCGTTCCAGTGCGACATGTAAATATTAAATTTCTCCGGTCTCTATCTTCAAACTTTTTTTAAAATTTTGCTCCTCTATTTTGTCCTCACTGTGACAGAGAAAAACATGAATTTATCTCAAGGGGATCTAAAGATATTGAAAGCGCAAGGTCCAAAAGCCGGTTTTTAGCATCACCTACCGTTAAGAAATGCTTATTATCTAGTTCGTTCTTTGCCAATTAGAGACGGTGATTCAGTCAATTTATAGAAAACGTTTGGGCTTTCAGAATACGTGACCGGTTAGCACCTTCGCCGCACCTTTTTTGTTCATTTTTCGTAAAAACGCACACATACAATCATTGTTCGATTTTCTATCACGCGAGATTAAAAATGATACCCAGACTGAATAGGTTATCTGAAAATCCTGGAAGAGGTCTTGAATCAAAGACGAGACTTGGGATGGATTATAAAATCGTAAAAAAATATGGAAATGTCACGCGAGATTTTCGACTTTATCTATGACTCACTTAGTTTTTGACCGTTTGAGATAAAACTTGGCTCCTTTTATCTAATCATTGAGTCAACTTCTTATGAAAAGCACAGCGTCTGAGAGTTTACCGTTCGCGAGAAAACTGAGAATTACTCAAAAATGTCACGCGAAATTTTTTTTATGACAAAGTGTCACGTGAGATTATAACTGTTGAACTAACTCTTTGTACCGATGATAAACCGGTAAACCAGTAGATCAGTAACCAGTGAAGTTGTTTGGTAGTACTGCATTCACGTACTAAACTATATTTGGAGCTTTGTCTCTTTTGCTAATAAACTAGAACTGGTTTGTATTCAAAAACCTTTTTATCACTAAAAATCTAAGTTTTTCAGCTGCAAGTAGTGGAATCAGATTCGTCAAATACACACCATTGTATCCGTCCCATCGAGATCTATTGAATGGTCTGTCATACTTATATTTTTTTGTCATACAAAAAAGTTTTTTCACACATAGCCTCGGGGATTTTTAAAGTATTTCTAAAAACTCTCGTATCTCAGCCATCCTGTTGGTGGCAGTCGGGAACTTTTCCCCTTGTTCTCCGCTCATATAGTACAATGAAATGTACGCTTCAGGTTCTTTATATTCGAAAGTTTTGTTCACTCATTTTTTTATCTAACGGTACAATAAAATTGCAAATCACCCACATATTTCTGGCTGATGAGATCTGTCAATGTTTTTTTGCTTTCTATGATTAGAGTCATCTATTATTCATGTTGACGATTCCTCACACTCAACTATGCATAGACATATATATATCCAATAATTTTTCTTTCCTGTTCTGCTATGTATCTATCTAATCGTGTTGCTACGTGTGATCAATCTGTAGACCCCATGATGGAATAGTGCAGAACTCCACGTCGTTGCGCAAAGGAAAAATATCAAAAAAATATTTTTTTAGCAAAACGAGGTCAAGATAATCTTTCGACCATTTGTTTCAGCAAATTTGTCGAAAGATTAACTTACAAAAAATACACGGAGATTTTTTTTCTCTTTCGTTCTTTTTTTCTTTCGTCCAAAGAATCAGGTCTGATGATTAGGTAGAATACATCAAATGAGACAGAAACGACACAGCAACCAATGAAAATCATAACAAAATAGAGGTTATCTTTTTATGCAATGTTTTTGCAATGACGAAAGTTTCACGAAAGAGCAAATTAAAGAAGGCTTATCTTGACCGAAAAATGAAGTGATAAGAATAAGTCACTTATCGTCAAATTATATTGGACCGAATCTTAGCTTATAGAGAGTTCGTGTAACATTATCAATGGACATGATTAATAATTATTTATGCGTGCGTTCGTTCTTACATGTCTTTTTCTTGCATTCTGTGTGGTGAAATAACATACACGTATCTACTTCTGCTCTACGTTCTTTTGCAGTTCTTTTCTCTGTGTTAATAACCGATATTATTGTGTGAAGTACAAGAAAACACAGCTCTACCAAAAACAACTGTAAGATGCTTGTTATAGAATTACTACTTTAAGCTAATCCATCAAGACTTATAAGATAAACATTATACTATTGACAATTCGAATGTCAGATAAAATTAAGGAAATCTCCGAATTTTTGTCTCAGAACAACGAACATTAACTATCGCGCATTCGAGATGTAAATGTTAAGTATCTTATAACGATTTTTAGCGCTACTTGGCGACGAAAAAGTCCAAGTTGTACAATATTTGAGTGACTCAATATCTGATTTTTTCCACTTTGCAACCTACATGTTTCTATACAAATTTATGAATTCTTTACGGATTTTTCATGCCTCATTCCTGTGTCATTATTATGACTGAATCTGATATAAAACCTTTATTTCTAGAATTCATATATCCGAGTGTAATTTAAATAGATCTAGCATGCCACACCTGAAAAGTACGATTCCCCCAGAAGGTGGCAAAGATCTCTCGTTGGCATCCACTGTGGAGTTGAATGATGGTTTTCGCATGCCGAGACTTGGTCTCGGGGTCTGGGAGACCCAGCCGAATGTCTGCGAAGAAGCGGTACTAGCATCATTCGAGGTAGGTTATCGACATATAGACACAGCTGCTAGTTATGACAATGAAGCAGAGGTTGGATCTGCTGTGCGCAAGACCACAGTTCCCCGATCAACTTTGTTCATCACGACCAAAATCTGGGATGATGATCAAGGGTATGACTCAACCATCGCAGCTGTTCAAGATTCGTTAAAGAAGAGTGGACTGGAATACTTTGATCTCATTTTGCTTCATTCTGCTCTGCCTGGCAAGGAAAGTCGACTTGAGAGTTGGAAGGCTCTCGAATATTGCGTTGATAAAGGGTGGATACGATCAATTGGTGTATCAAATTGGGCAGCAAAACATTTTGAAGAGTTGAAAGCTACCTCGCCCAAGATACGGCCTGCTGTCAATCAATTAGAACTCCATCCGTTTCTTCAACAGAGACCAACCGTAGAATATTGCTTCTCGAATGATATTGTCGTACAAGCCTATAGCCCCTTGACGCGAGGTCAACTATTGAATAATGAAACAATCACTCGCATCGCAAACAGCAAGGGAGTTGATGAAGCTCAGGTGCTCATTAGATGGAGCTTACAGAAAGGTGAGTAGTGGAAGCCTTGTGACCATCCTCTACACAGTTCCTACTCTCTATGATTTGATACGTTTTATAGGCTTCGTACCTCTTCCAAAAAGCTGTAAACCACATAGAATTCAGAGCAATGCAGACGTTTTTAATTTTCTTCTATCAGAGGATGATATGACGGCATTGGATGCGCTCGATAATGGGTACCTCACTGGCTCTTGGGGCGAAGGTGTCAATCCATTGAATGCGGAATAACTGTACTCGTTACTTAGTTGGCTTACAATGTTGTACTTATAGATGGTTGCATTTACAGATGTTACCACCACTCTTGTACTTTCAGTGTTTGCTTAACACTAATGTTTTCTCATGACGACGTAAACAACAACTGTTTTGTTTACTTCAATGTTAAACTTTCTTTTTTAGTTGTTATCGAAATAAAAAAATCAAATCAAACATTATTAATTATCTATGACACCTACTATTAGCTAAAAAGAACAAAACAAAGAAATTGTATACAGTCGCTATGAAAACCAATGGTTGTACTTATAATCACACTCTATTTGAGGAAAAATACATGACCTTAACTATTTTCTCATTTAAAAGTTATAACACTTACTTGTTTATATGCTTTAATCATACCTGCGGCCTTCTTTTTTATTGTCTTGTAGATGGTCTAACTGATAACTATAAGTAAGAAGAAAAAGTCTTAAAAGATACAAAATACGCAAAAAGTCCGGTTTTTCTTAAGTGTCTATTTGTGATGAATAAGTTATATTTTTTAAAACTGTTTACAGTTAATATTGTTTGTTACAGATCATATTTTTGTAACTGAGGCAAGTTTTCAGGTGTTTCGAAATAAAAATTGTTCAAGAACACTGAGTTAAATTAAATCTTTGGATAGGATCATTTCCTGAGTCTACAACATATAAATAAGTTTCTATTGAATCTAATTTTACGCTGAATGGTGAATTGATATGTTTAACATCTGAACCAAAAACACTTAGTTCTCCAGTTAGAGTAGACACAGGAGTAACATAGGACGGAATATATTTTTGTATTCTGTTATGGGATTGCTCACGATCAGAAATATAAAGATTACTTTTAAATTCATTGTTATAAAACCAGAAAAATATAATTGATTTGTGCCATTTCCAGATGTGCCGTTACCAGCAATTAGAACACTCCAACTATACGGTCAGTAAGGGGACACCTTCTATATCCTGATCGGGATATATATCCCGATTGGGATATAGCTATATCCCGATCAGGATATAGAAAAAAAGTAGTATCCCGATCGGGATATAAAACACGAAATTTCGTCG